GAATGAATGAATGAATGAATGAATGAATGAATGAATGAATGAATGAAGCCAATCAAGCCACAGCACTTAAGCACTTATCAGAACAGTCACATCAACTCCATTCTTTTTTTTTTTCTTCTTTTTTTTTTTTCCAAGGACAGGGTTTCTCCATGTAGCCTTGGCTGTCCTGGACTCGCTTTATAGATCAGGTTGGCCTCACAGAGATCCACCTGCCTCTGCCTCCCGAGTGCTGGGATTACAGGCGTGCGCCACCAGCCTGGCTCTTATGAACGCCATTCTTAACAGCGCATTTTCAATTTCATTACTGAAGATTTATCCTGACAGCCTGCTATTTTAACTCACCCTCAGTCGGAGATCTGTGAATGTTCTCTCGCTGTTCTAAACTAATTATTGGCTACAATTTGGAGGACGCTCACCCCTCCACTTCAAAAACAGTCAACTAAAACACTCCTCCCATATCACTCCCATATTTCACTCCCATACCAAAAAAAAGTCCCCCACAAGCTTCGCCGGTGGGCAGTGACTCAGACAGCAGCAGTCTTTTGCTTAACGTAAAGGTCGCTGACGCAGCCAGGGAGCCATGCCCAGGAATTACCTGCCAGAACAGGCTTTAAACAAGGCACCGCACATTCACTTTAACAAACTAACTCAGATCTCATAACCGCCCAGCACCGCTGGCCAGACAAGCATTTTCCATGCTACACTTTAAAACATTAATAGCAAGTAGGATCCAAGCCTTGAAGAGTATCATGGCCGTGTTCCCTCGTTTGAGGTTTCCTCCACTGACAGTGACTGGGAAAATGCTCTATTTATACTTTTCAAAATAGGTACTGATCATAAGGGGTAATAAGAAACTAAAGAATCCTTAAAGACAGTTCAGATCCTGTCTCAAAAAACACATTAACTGATAACTGACTAGGTGAAGTTTGCAGTTACTGCCCTGCAAAGCTGTCACACACAGTCACGGCCATTTCCTCCACAGCTGTCTATGACAACGTGCCCTGTATCTGGGATGCAGCGTGTGAGGTTAGGTCCTCAGTCTGCTGCCTACATCTCTGTTATCTCCTCACCGTTGTACAAGTCCAGTCAGAAGGAACAAGCGTAGTTACCCAGGCGTGGTAAAGTGTGGGCCCATGAGCAGGCCGGCCATTTACTGGGCTCCTGCTTCGGAGAGTCTGCAAGCTGCGGGGCAGTCAGGAGGCGGCCTCTGGGTAAGACAGCATCCAGGGCCGAAGGGTGGCTCAGTGGTTAAGAGCACCGGCTGCTCTTCCAGAGGACCCAGGTTCAGTTCCCAGCCCCCAGTGGTGGTTCACAGCCATCTGTAACTCCCGTCCCCGGGGTCTGACGCCCTCTTGGTCTCACCGGCGTGCACGTGGTGCACAGGCGCACATTCGGGCACCCACACGCACATAGAAGAGAAATGTAAAACTGTTTTAATCTCTAAAGAAAAGCCAGGCTATCGACATATCCGTAGCAGAGATTTTTAATATTATAAGAGCAAAATGTTTAGCATTATGTGAACAACAGTAAAATAAATTCTTTAAAGAAATAAATGAAATCTACACATATTTAAATAGCAAAGAAGAAAAAGAAGAAGGTGGTTTCGGAGAAAGAAAAAAAAAATCAGGAATCAGGTAGGACATGATAGTTCTTGCTTTTACCCCAGCACCTGGGAGGCAGAGATGGGAGAGCCTCTGTTGAATTAGAGGCCAGCCTGAGAAAGCAGAGTGAGAGCCTTTCTCTTCAGCATTAGAAACAAAACAACAATCCAAAATATTAAACTGAAAAACAGATACCAAAGGGGCCACGATTGGAGCAATAAATACACATTTTCAAGTCCATTCTTGGAGGAATGGAGTCAGATTAGAAGCACTGTGACCCGGCTCACAT